GGTGTGCCGTGGAGTCAGTTCTAACTCATAAGAACCCTGCAAAGGATTTCTGAGGCTGAGCTCTGGTAGCATAGTGGTTACGAATCGGGCTGTGAACTGCAAGGTCAGCAGTTCGAAACTACCAGCTGTTCCGCGGGAGAAAGATGAGGAGTTCCGCTCCCGTAGCTATGAGTCGGAACAGACTCCACGGCACACAGCCACCACCAAATCTTTCCAGAAGCAGAAAGCCTCATCTTTTTCCTGCGAAATGGCTGGTAGTTTCGAACTGCTGACCTTGAGGTTAGCAGCCCAACTCGTAACCACTACGCTACCAGAGTTCTGGTAGAACCCCATTTAAACTCAGGTGGAGCCCCATTTAAGGCTCATTCTTCATCTTCCTCTTCCTCCTCCTCACCCTCGTCATCTTCATCCTCTCCATTCATGTTTGTTGTTGTTGTTGTTAAGTGCCATGGAATCCTGTTTAACTAAAATAAAACAAAATCTAACCAGTTGCCATGGAAAGTAATTCCTACTCGTGGGACTTGGCGTGTGCCAGAGAGAACTGTGCTCCACAGGGTTTTCAGTGGCTGGTTTTTTCCAAGTAGATCACCAGGCTTTCTTCTTAGATGCCTCTGTGTAGATTTAAACCAGTAATGTTTTGGTTAGCAGCTGAGTTCTTAACCATTTAAACCCATACGGACATCTGCTTAGCTGCAGAGACTAAAAGTACACCACAAAACAGGTACCTTCCTTCAAGGTCCACCTCTTATCCTTCCTTTCCCAGGATGCCCCCTCATCTTCTAGTTGCTTCTTCTTGGTTCTCTAGTCTATCTTCCTTCTGACAGTGGTCACCTTCCCCAGCTTGGAAATTCCCAGAAGACACCACCGTCTTGTCCATCTTTGCACTGCGCGTAGAGCATACGTGATAGAGTGAATGACTTACTATGTCCCTTCCAGCGATAGTGTTTGTAACAACCACCGAATGAGTGGGTAGCTTTCTGATAATGTAAATAAGGTGAAATGCACCCTTGAGAGGTGGGATCACCAAATAGGTGTCTGGAACTTTATCAGAGGGATTGATCAGCTTTGCCATTCAAGCTTAAAATGAGTCATCCCAGGGGTGGAAAGGGGATCTTATCACCATCAAGAAAGAAGGACGTGAGGGTTGGAAATGTAAAGGGAGGCATTTTGTAGCAAGGAGGGGAGTGATTAACTTTGCAGTCTAGGAGCGGAGGTCCCTGGGACCATCAAGGGAGAGGAGCAGAGAGTGGGATCCTACCCGGAGAAGCAGTGACGCCAGAGATGGAGGCAGAGACGACGGCATGGAGAGATGGAGCTGCTGGGGACTCTAGACACAGAGAGGGAGAGGGGCTGTGTGCTGACGACCGGTGGGAGGCAGGCTTGAAGGGTTGATGTTTTGGTTGGTTGGTTGATGATGCATGGAGGGGATTGTAACCATGGCAATGAAACGAGATAGGGTGAATGTAAAACTAATCTTCTCCCATATTAACTATCACACAATTCACAATAAAACAGTTAAAAAAAAGACGCCAGAGCACATCCTTGAGATTAAGTATGATCTGTGAGTTCTGCGTGGCCACTGCAATGAACTATGGGAGTGTAGAGAGTGTTGGCGGAGAGACAACTAGAAGCAGAAGAGGTACAAAGGCTAGAGGGTGGACGCACATCTGACTTCTCTGCCTCATAGGAATCTGCTTGGGCACCTGATGCCTATGGTAAATCTCTCTCGTTAAGTTACAGAAGGCGAGATGCTGCCAACACCATGCCAAGTTTTACAGCTGGCATCAGGAGCAGGTTTCATTGTAATGCTTCCAGACTCAAGGAAGAGAACTTTGTAAACGAAAGAACCAAGGGAGGTGAGAAGTGAAACTTGCCGTTAGATACAAACAACAACTTTGGTTGTTGTTAATAGTATTGGCTGAAAGAAAAGTAAGAGATATACTGTAGCAGAGGGGAGAACAGTTGCTTCTGGTGGGGCTTCAGGCAAAAGCCAAACCAGATTAGATAAGTGATAGGGAGCTGTTGGTGCCACTGGGTCAGAGGCCCACCGCCATATAAATGGGATGATAGTCAAGGTGTGAGAAAAGAATATGAAAATGGAAATTTTTAAAAAAGAAGTACATTTTTAGGTTATGTGTTTCTTCTACCTCATACTGCTGTTGTTAAGTGCCATCAAGTCAGTTCCAACTCATAGCGACTCTGTATAGGGTTTCCAAGGAAAGGCTGGTGGGTTTGAACCGCAGACATTGCAGTCAGCAGTCTTACGGCGCCATACCAGGATTCCTTTACCTCATATCACAAAACTTAAATGTATGAAAGAAAGGAATATTGGGTATAATTGATTACGGGAAATGTGTAAGTCCACTTCAACTAGTATCTGATTGCATGTGTTAAAAAGGAATGAGTATTTTCCAGGAAGAGACACAGATTATTGGTTTGAATGTAGTAGCCCTGTGTGGAGTATTGGCTTAGGCAGAAGAAGACCGTGTGTTATACTGTGAAAAATGATATGGGACGGCGCATCTGACCTCCTGTAATTTCACGGGGGGTGGGGGGGAGAGAAGAACAATCAGCATCAGCCGAGAACAATCAGCATCAGCCGCCCTGGGCAGATCCCTGTGTGTAGAGATCAGACCTGTCTCCACCCTCCAACCTTTTACCAGTCCTCTTTCCCAACCCTGCCATAGCATCCTCTACTTCCTTGTCGGGTCTGATTCCTTGTAATGGCCACAGAGAACTCACAATCAAACTCACAGTATAGGGTTTACTAGGGAAGTTATAGGTTACAATTCATAGAGAGGTCACCTAAAATACAGCTTGGGGATCAGGCCAACCTCCTTTCAGCATGCCTACAGGCACACCTCTGTCTGGTGCCTCGACCTCTACAAAGTATGAGATGAAATCTCACCATTTTGGCTTCCAAGGAGCATTCTGGCCGTACTTCTTCCAATAGAGATTTATTGATCTTCTGGCAGCCTATGGGACTTTGAATATTCTTCTCTAACACCATAACTCAAATGCATCATTTCTTCAGTGGTCTTCCTTATTCATTATCCAACTTTCACATGCATGTGAGACTACTGAAAATGCCATGGCTTGAGTGAGGTGCACCGTAGTCCTCAAATGGACATCTTTACTCTTGAACACTTTAAAAGAGGTCATGCGCAACAGAATTGCCCAATGCAATACGTCGTATGATTTCTTGACTGCTGTTTCTGTGAGTGTTGATGGTGGACCCAAGCAAAATGAAGCCTTTGACAACTTCAATCTTTTCTCCATTTTATGTTCTGGTCCAGTGGTGAGGATTTGGGTTTCCTTTACATTAAGAGGCAATCCTTACTGAAGGCTGTGGTCTTTGATTTTCATCAGTATTTTACGTTCTCTTCACTTTCAGCAAGGGAGGTTGTATCATCTGCACATTGCAGTTTGTTAATGAGTCTTCCCTTAGTCCTGATGCCATGCTCTTCTTCTTACAATCCAGCTTCTCAGATTATTTGTTCAGCACACAGATTGAATAAGCACTATAAAAGAAAACAACCCTTGCACACATCTTTCTTGATTTTAAAGCATTCAGGGGCTCCTTGTTCTGTTCAAATGATTGCCTCTTGGTCTATGTAAAGGTTCCTCATGAGCACAGTTAAGTGTTCTGGAATACCAATTTTTTTTGCAGTGTTACCCATAACCTGTCATAATCCACACAGTCAAAAGCCTTTGCGTAGTCAATAAAGCACAGGTAGACGACATCATTCTGGTATTCTCTGCTTTCAGCCAAGATCCATTTGACATAAGTTCCACATCCTCCTCTGAATCTGGCTTGAATCTGCATTGTGTAGGGCCCTAAAACTAGCCTGATTTCTGCCCATGACCTCTATCTCCCTCTAGACACATAAAAAGGGCACTTTTTTGTTGAACAAGGGCACTTGGAACAAAGCCTGAGACCAGATCTATCTCAAAGCACACGACTGGATGCCCCAAACACACTGTGCATAATTTATGGAGCCAAAACGAAATGAAAATATGGGTCTCTTGTTAAATCATTAATAAAAACTTCAGGATGGTGACTGCTGATATTATGAGCTCATGGGAGTGAGATGCGAGATGTCGGCACAAGTTTCCTCTGAACTGGCAACCAGATGTCCTAGATTTCTTGATCTTCAATGGAAAAGTCTAAAGAAACAAGCATTTTGGGGTAAGTTTCCAAGCTTGCCTGAACCAGAGTTCTGTGAGAGCTGGTAAGGTGCTGACACGTGTGGCTCACCTGGCAGGGACTCCAGTAACTCCTGCACCACCTCGGTGTGCCCGAAGTGTGCAGCCACCACGGCGGGGTTGTCGTCGTTGGGTTCTGGGGGCAGCACCACCCGCCTCTCGGTGACCAGATACCTCACTGTCTCCAGGTCCCCGTAGGCTGCGGAGATGCTCAGAAGCTGGACCTGTTCGAAAGAAAGCAAGGTTTCTTGGATTAGATGAGTTCTGTTTGGGACTGTCAAGAAAACACACTCTAAAGAATTGTATTATTAAGTTGATGCACGACATCAAAGCTCCTCTGGTGGGTATGAGGGTCATACACCACCTGGGGCGACTGGGCACTTGCAATGTGGCCAGTACCAAGTGAGATGTGCTGGAAGCATAAAGCGCACGCACGATTTTGAAGATTTTGTGCAAAATAGAAGCAAAATATTTCCTCAATTACTTTTATATAGTGGCCCTAACAGAACAAAACACGTGCACCATCCTCACAACTGGCACGTTTGAGCCCACTGTTACTGGCACTGTGTCAAATCCATCTTGTTGTGGGGGCAGTCTTCCCCCTTTTTACTGATCCTCTACTTTGTTGTTTTTGTTAAGTGCTGTCGAGTTGCTTCTGACTCACAGTGACCCTGTATAGGGTTTCCAAGGGGTGCCTGGTAAGTTTGAACCACTGACCTTATGGTTCAAACCGACCTTGCAGTCCAGCGCTTGATCCTACAGTGCCACACCAGGATTCCTGACCCTCTACTTTACCAAGCCTGATGTTCTTTTCCAGGGACTGGTCCCTTCTGACAACATGTCCACAGTACATGAGACAAAGTCTCAGCATTGTCATTTCGAAGGGGTGTCTTTCTGGCTGTACTTCTTCCAAGATAGATTTGTTTGTCCTTCTGGCAGTCCATGGTACTTTCAATAGTCTTCTCCAATGCAATAATTTGAATGTATCAATTCTGCTCCAGTCTAAATTATTCATTGTCCAGATTTTAAATATATTCAGGCTAAGAACAAGTATGAATATTCCTTTCACTTATTATCATTTTCAACCTTTTTAATGTGGTTGCTGGGAAATTTAAAGCCCTTGGATGGTAGAAACAGTTGACATGCTCAGTTACTAACCTAAAGGTTGGTTGAATCCACCAGAAACCCCTCAGAAGGAAGAATTAGCGGTTGACTTCTGAAACATCGGCCTCTGAGAACCCTGTGGTGGGGGCGTGGCTGTGTGCCGTGGAGTCCGTTCTGACTCATAGCAACCCCGTACAGGGTTTCCGAGGCTGTAAATCTTTACGGGAGCAGAATGCCTCATCTTTCTCCCATGGAACAGTTGGTCGTTTTGAACTGCTGACCTTGCGGTTCGCAGCCCAATTCGTAACCACTATGCTACCAGAGCTCCTTTTGAGAACCCTGTGGAGAAGGGCTCTATTCAGGCACTTGTGGGACCATCTGGAGTTAGAGTTGACTTAATGCAGCTGGTAACTGTGGCTCCCGTGGTATTTCTATCAGACAGTGCTGGTGTCTACCATGCTTTCACTGGAACCAGGTAAACTCAATAAACATCAAGGAATTGTAGAGTGAACTTTTGGAAGAGCCAGGCTCCCTGGAGGAGCCTCCTGCACGTTATTTCATTAATGGAATGTAGAAATGGAATCTAGAGACTAAGCTCCTCCAGCCATCTGCAATAAGATGCTTGGCGTAGGGAAGAAGGAAAAGGTGGCTGGAGATGAGACCTGAGCCTAAGTTTCTACTATGTCCCAGCTATTTGGACATGCACAAACTCATCTGAGCCTTACACCAACTCTAAAAGGTGGGCAGGATATTATTACATTGTACAGACTTGGAAATGGAGGCTCACATAGGTGGCATCACTTGCGTAAATTACACAGATAATTAGTGACTTTCATAGAGTCCTGGTGTGGCACTGTGGGATCAGCACTGGACTCTAACCACAGGTTGGCAGTTCAAACCCACCAGTTGCTCCTTGGAAACCCTATGCAGGGTGACTACCAGTCAAGTGACTTTCATAGCCTGACTTTTCACAAGCTCCCAGGGTAGGCAAAAATGGAGACCTGTGAATGCTGGGAAGGCGTGTGAAGAGTCTGACTGTGTTACTGAAAGGGGCACTCCTCCTAAAGCACGGCTGGCTCTACCATGGCAGTGAAGCACTTTCCTGACAGGGAACACCACACGATTTACGAAACCATTCACCACATGCCACCAAAAGCTTTCTGGACACCATCTGATTAGAGGCTTACAGTCCCATCCTCACAAGGTTGTAAGCGATGTCACCAGAGCTCAGCCGAGGCCTAGGGGATCTTCCTGTTTGCAGATCATCTGGAGGCTCGAGATCGGGGCTGGGGAACCTTTTTTCTGCCAAAATTTATAACATCATTCATGGGCTATGCAAAACAATCAACTTAAACCTCCCCTCAGCAAAGAAAGCACTCTTTGTAGCCCCTCTCAGACTTTCCAGAACACGATTGTTGTTGTTGTTATGTGCTGTGGAGTCGGTTCCGACTCATAGCGAGTCTGTACAGGGTTTCCGAGGCTGTAAATCTTTACGGGAATAGAAAGCTTCACCTTTCTCCCATGGAACAGCTGGTAGTTTCGAACTGCTGACCTTGTGCTTCACAACCCGATTCGTAACCACTACGCTACCAGAGCTCAGGAAACTAGCTGCTGTCAAGTAGACTTTGACTCATGACAGTCCCACATGTGACAGAGAACAACTGGGCACCATAGGTTTTCAGTGGCTGACTGGCTAGCGTAGATCTCCAGAACTCTCTTCCAAGGTGCTTCTATGTGGAGCTGCACATCTAGCCCTTTGGTTAGCTGCCGAGTGTGTTAATCATTGCACCACCGGGGAACTGCATACATACACACATGGACAATCCCATATTAAGCCAAATGCTTTTTATTGGCATCTAGACTCGACGGCCCTTCACAACAACAACAACAACAACAGACCTACAGAAAAGCACAAAAATGATACGCATCCAGTTTGATGAATTGCTATAAAGTAAATACACCCAAGTAACCGGCACCCAGACCCCCCAACTATGCTCCTTTCCAGTCCAGCTATCCAGATTAGGGGAAAACTGGTAACCCTGACTTCAAAACCCTACGTCAGTTTCTGCCTGCTCTGAACTTTTTAAAACAAGGAATTACAATTCACATAGTAGTGTTTCAACTCTTTATTTTGAAAGAATCATAGATTCACAGCACGTTGCAAATACAGCTTTCCTCAGTGCTTATATTTCTGATAATGCTAACTGTTGTTGCTGTTACGCGCCGTCGAGTCGGTTTGACTCACAGTGACCCTGTACAGGGTTTCTGAGAAACAGTTGCTGGGTTTGACTGAGGCCATGTGGTTCACAGTCCAGTGCTGATCCTACAGTGCCACACCAGGAGTCCATAATGTATAATGTATAATGCTAATACAATCTCTGGTGTGGCACTGTGGGTTAATGTGCTGGACTGCAAAGTTGTTTGAACCGCAAGGTCGGTGGTCCAAGCTCGCCAGTCACTCCTTGGAAAACCTATACAAGGTTGCTATGGGTCAGGACCGACTTGATGGCACTTAACAACAACAATACAACCACTAAAACCAGGGAATCAACATTGGTATAATGTGTACGTACAGTTCGGTTGTTCTTTTACATTGTAGGCTTGTGTAAAGCCCAGAACAATCGCCACCTTATCTCATGTCACCTCTTCATAACCACATCCTTCCTCCTCGATCCCTAAGACCTGGCAACCACTAGTCTGGTCCCTGTAATTTGCCATTTCAAGAACGTTATATAAGTGGATTAATAAAGAGAGTACCTTCTGAGATTAACTGTTTCTCTCAGCTTGATGCCCCTGAGCTCCATCTGAATGAGAATGTATACCAGCAGTTCCTTTCTATTGCTAAGTTGTATTCATTTCTTGATCGCTGTCTTCATGGATACTAATTTTTGATCCAAGTAGAATGGAATCATTGACGATTTCAATTTCTTCTCCATTTACCATGCTATTATTTGTTATGAAGGCAGTTGTGAGGATGTTCATTTCCTTCACTTCCAGGTATGCAGATTGCTGTGGTCTTTGCACTGGGCAAATCTGGTGCCAAAGACCTTTTCAAAGTTATAAAAAGCAAGATGTCACTTTGATGACACAGATGCATCTGACCCAACCATGGTCTTTTCAGTTGTCTCATACGCATATGATGGGTGGATAATGTAAACAGAGGACAGAGGTGTGTTTGCAAAGAATACTGGACAAACCATGGACTGCTAAAAGAAAGAACAGATCAGTCTTAGAAGAAGTACAACCAGAACGATGCCTAGAAGCAAGGATGTCAAGACTTGGATCACTGAATTTGGATACATCATCAGGAAAGACCAAAGAAAACCAGGGTTGGTACAGTAGAGGGTTAACAAAAACAAGGAAAACCCTCTCTGAGGGTCACAATAATGGACAAAACAAAGCAAAGATCACAAGGATGGCAGAGGATGGGGCAAGGTTTTGTTCTGTTACACGGAAAAGTTGGAGCTGACTTGAGGACAACGAACAACAATGAACGCTAGGGATATACCACCGTTTGTTTGCTCATTCACCTATTGAGGGGCAATTTGTTTAGGATCAATTTTGGGCAATTTCCAATAATGTGCAAGTTTTGGTATTCATATAAGTGCCCTTTCTCTCAAATAAATGCTCAGAAATGCAGCCGCTGGAACTTATGGTAAGTGTACAGGCACACACCTGAGATATTGTCAGTCCACTTCCAGATCACTGCAATGAAATGATGTTGCAAACAAGAGGCACGTTTTCAGTAAAGAGTAGTTTATTAAATAAGCAGTTTATAATCAATGCATCTTGATTGTAAGTCTGATCCATTTCATCCTGAAGAAGCTGGTAAACTTCTTCAATTCTGATCACCAGCTTTGGTAGTTGGTGCACAAATTTGAATATCAGCTCTACTGACTGGTCCTGAATGTGGGTGGATGGATATTATCCTGCCACAGACAGCTTTATACTTCAAGATCGACTTTTAAATGTTCTTTTAGATGATGACCTTGTTGAGGACCTCTTTAAGTTTAAAAATTTTAAGTCTTTAAAATTCCTCTTCAAGTTTAGGGAGATGTGTGAACTCCCAAGCCCATGGGCACTGATCTAGCCACTGGACCTAGAGCTGAATGTGAAGCAG